TGTGTTATCAAAATCAAAATTATGCAACTTCTGTTGTGCATGATGTGCTAATGCTGTACCATTTTCGTTATTTTTTCTTAGGCTATACTTATGTTCGTATATTCTTTTCTTTAGATATTGTCCTGTTTGACCTATGGATTTGTTGTCACAATTCAAACAGTCTATTTTGTAAATTACATTAGGCGTGTCTAACTTGTCAATCCTAGGTTTAAATTTTGTGAAACATTGCTAAGGTGTTTTTAGTTTTTTCTGCTATGTTGATATTATGTGGTTTGAATATATTTTTTATTTTTGTGTTAATTTCCGGAATATATGGTAATGATATATACTTGATATCATCTTCTCTTCTTTTATTTATGTTTTTCCATTTAGTTCAATCCAGCAAGGAAAATGAAAGATGAAACTAAGAGTGATTGTCAAGATTAAAAGATAATTTCCGTTTTAATTTTCTTTACTTTACGCTATATTCATTTTTTGAATTATTCCAACCTAAGAACAACTAATTTAAAGCAGTTTATTCAAATGCATAAAAGACTGTTCAGTTTGGTTAGAAACATAACGAATACTTAAAATGCAATTAAAGAATTGGCGAGAAATAAATTTAGGTGAAGAATTAAAATCGTAGAAATTTATGCTTAGACTCGGAATGCAGAAACTTTGTTTAAAATAATTCGTAAAAGATGTCTGTTTCCGTGCTTGGTTCATCGGTCAATAGAAAGCGGCAGAAAATAAAACAGTGTTTTTCTTGGGTTCAAGAAATAATGTTTTTCTTTCTGCCGCTCTCTATTGTCCGAGAATCCCAACCAGCTAAACATGCAAGTTTTAAATAATATTTTATTGAGAAATCGGAATAGAATGTATGTGCTTTATTTCAGCATAACATCCATTTCCAGCACAAAGCTGACCGTGGCTGACTAGAGAGAAAAGTGGAAATCCAAATAGTCTTCGTGCCAATTATCGGAAATAATTTATCTCTTCAAACTCTGACTGATCATTCAAACGAATGATCTCACGAGACTAAAGCTAACAGCCTGATTTCCGACCGTTAGAGAAAAATTATATCTACTTAAACACGTTTTTTAAACTAATATCATAAATTAAATATTAAAACTATAATCAAATTCAGTAGTAATATTCAGTGACACTCGCATTGTCTTGTGCAATCTGTTTTATTATGTTCACTACTCACTGGCTTAAGCTAATAACCACGATATAACAAGTGTTAATTAAAATCAATGAGGACTTTTCCACCCTGATTAGACATAACAGATCTCCTATAGAGAAAATAAATATTTACTATTATTAGTAAATCACATGGGCTCTAAGATTCATTTATATTGGGCCGGTCTTGATTTATTAAAAGCTTTTTTAGCGAGGACTCAGGCTTCGTACTTCGGCATTCAAATACCCTCGTCTACTCTGATAATATTCCTGGTAAAACGAGAGAAATGTATTGTTGGCATTTTCATAAAAAAAAACGCGTTTCCCGCTCCGTCAATATATTAGGAAATAAAAATATACCTTCGGAATTTATTGGTTCGATAGCGGATGGTTGCGACACTTTTCGGAACTTACGGGTCTATGGTATTTATGTCGAATTTCCGAAATGGGCATTTAAAAGAAAAATACTGCATACAGATTTCAGTAGCGCAATTCCCCCAAACAAAATTCAATTAAAAAGCAACCAATGAGAACGTTTACAAACCATTGCCGTTTGAATCAACGACACGTTACAAATCATTAATTTTTATTYCCGAAACCGCAAATATTCCATTCTCTGTGCCGACTTTTGCTATTTTTTATTATGTCGATTTTGYCATCATGATTGGTCTCTGAGTTTCGTTTTATTTTTACTAGTAACAATCACTGCTTAAATTTMCGAMAATTTTTGTTACTGCTTGCTTCAAATARAATCTATAGTTTTTGCTATCAGTKTTAGATCTTTGAGTACACCACAATACATTGTTACTAATATAAATACAGGGTGTCACAATAAGGATGGTAAGCGACTGTATCTTGGAAAGTGTGTGTTGTAGAGTTATCGGAAAAAAAATTCGATAACAAACTTGAAGAAAAGGATTTGCTGGAAATTATTTTGAAAGTTCTCAGATGACCACTAGATGGCGTAATTGCAAACGGTATTTTAAATAGTCGATTTTATACAGAAATTGTCCCGATACGGGAAATATCTAGTAAGTTTAGTCAAAAGACCATTAAAAACTGTACTACTTTCCTTATGATCTTTTTTTCCTTACTTGTCAAATAAAGGGAGGGGAGAGAGTCAAACCGTTTAATACAAAGAAACCTGTAACTCCGAAACGGCTTGACCGATTTCAAAGTTGTTAGTATCARTTGAAASAGCAATWAAAACTCTACAATATGTGATATAARAACAATCYTAATCATYKTCGAAAATTTCGCTGTTCRAAAAATATTATTTGTGTTAATKTTTCACAAAAATTTCAAATGCTACCATCAAGTTRTTTTACACGCATTCGAAACCACAGGAAAAAATGAACCAAACCGCAGAAACCGCATGTGAAAATAATTTCTSGAACCGATTTAATACTTGACTTGGAACAATTTCTGTATAAAATCGGCTTTTTAAAGTACCGTTTGCAMTTGCGCCATCTAGTGGCCATCTRAGAAATTTCAAAATAATTTCCAACAAATTCCTTTCTTCAAGTTTGTTATCAAATTTTGTTTCCGATCACTCTACAACACTACTTTCCAAGATACAGCATCTTACCATCCTTAATGCGACACCCTGTATATTAATATGATTCAGATTTGGTGTTATGATAATTCAAAGAAAACGTAAAGGGAAAAATGAAACTTGCATCCACGTTTCCTTAAGTTGGATATTGGATAAACCTTTCTGGACACGAAATAGACATTCTTTCATAAATTTAGTTTATTCACAATAACAGCTCGCCAAAAAATTGTTTTATCTATTTCAATACATTTTGCAAATGCAGAACGTTAATTCAACCTAGAAACATCACGTGCGCTTCGCAACTTCTCATGCTATTCCTTTAAAACTGCTTTCATTTTTGCTTCACCGGCAGGCAGACAGTCAAGACGTTTAATTTAACGTGAAAAGTTGCAATGCAGACGTTTCTAATAAGAAATTATTTTTCCAAGTGTCTCCTTGTAGTTTCGCGAGAGCAGGCTTGAAGTTTTTTATTCACTTTTGCACGATTTCCAACGGATTCTTCAGTTTCATAACTATGAAAGACGCGATCTTAATAAAAGTAGCCTAGTTTATAGGGATGGATGTTTGGCTTTGTTTCAAGTAGTCTATTCATTGTTGCAAGCGACAAAGAAATATTTTTATAATTAATTTACTTTAAAGTAATATAAAATATAAAATTTGTATTTGGATATCGATGAGGTTTGGGAAATGCTCACTTATGCACCGCCCAGTGTAACCCATAATGTTCTGGCGTTCGGGGTTGTGAGGGGCTCCAGCTTAGCTGTTTACTCACTAAAACCCACCTTTTCTTCAGGTGTATGTTGCAAAGGCTACAATTTTCCTTAGTTTTTGTATGCTAATTCTAGCCGATTTTTCCTTCGTACAGATTGTGCAGCTCTACCAATTGCTCTGCGATAAGTAGGCGCGATATCTCCTCCCAGCACTTTCTATGCTCCTCCAAGTTCCAACGCTCGATCCTCACCACTCGTATTTGAGCACGGGATATTACGCAAACCGATTTATGGCGAGCCTTCTTCTAACCTTTCTCCCTCTGCCATGGGCAATGGAATATTATGTATTTTCACTGTATCTATTTCACCAGGTTTGAAATACGTTTCGTTGCCTATAGTGCCTTTTTTTATTTTCTGCTGCTAATAGACCGTTAGTCTAACACGCATTGTAATTTGCCTGTACATGGTCGTAGAGCCTTAATTGTGGCTTAATCCCCGGAAACGATAGTAATTTATCTGCTTGCCAGGATCTTTTCCACATTTTGCTGCTCCAGGTTGTTATTACTAGTATGCCCACTTAGAAAACGGTTCTAGATTTCCATGTACCTGGTTGAGCGTGTGTGGATTTACGATAAAGCTTTCTACAAACATCGTTAAAAACTCATCTCTCCTATAGAAAGCGTATTCTCCTATAGAAGCTTAGCTTCGGAACAGCCTCTCTAAACAATTTATTATATTCTAGGTGAACGAGTGTGCGTGCGATGCGAATCCGAAGCCCTCCATGAAGAGCTTGGTTGGAGATGTCAAGGACATGGAGTTGAAGGACGTATCACCAGATGGTCCGCCTTATCTGCACCGCATTGCCACGGAAAATGGCTGAGAGCTAGCGCAGAACCCGATAGAACTTGCGAAGACAGAACATGCAAAGACACCACCACTTCCTTCATTTTCGTCTAAAAGTCTGAACTACTTATGTCTGCAAATAATTTGCAAGTTTACTAATAAAGGGAAATTAACACATTTGGCCAAAATTCATTTATTATGGTTTGTTCTTAATTACAAAGATGTTTTAATCGTGCTTTATTTGGGTCAGTTCTGAGTTACGAGTGATAATACACGTTAACTACCGTAGCATGTTCCACTTCAGCAACTTTTTAATAGTACCGTTAAACGATCATTTTTTAAGCAGTTTGCAGAAGGGGATTAGGGCAAATGCATACTGGAAAAAGTATACACTTTTCTCGGTAAATGTTCTGATAAACCTCGTATTTTGATAGTAGACATCGTGAAAATTAACTTTTTTGTATATCTAATTGATCTTAAAGGGTTTTACATACTTATAACTAAGGTAGGACACTGAGATCTACTGAAAGGATTGTCGATTTAATCATTTTAACGTTATATAATTTATGTTTCGGATTTTGGAAAGACTGCATTTAATAAAATGGACGTTATATGTTGCAGCACTCACTTTCTTGAGCCACCTTGTATAACTGGAAAACCGCTGAAAAGTTTTAGTTACTCTGATCTGAAGCGAAAAAATTTTGGACACAAAAAGGCAACTGCATAATACAGTTTCCACATATTTAAGTTTTTTCTACTTTTATATTTACTTGTTTTAAATTAACTAAATGTTTTGTGTTAAATTAACTAAATTGTTTGAACACGTGTGTTGATATAATAAAAGCTACACTAATTAAATTTACTAAGTTTTTTCGTTACAGGTATTACATCAACYATTGTACGTAATAAACCAACAACTCTTTTACATTCAACGGTTAGGTATCCCAAAATATTGATATCAAACAGCAATTAACATTAATTGTTCTACTTAAAAATCTGAAATRAACATTTACATATTAATCAAAGATAGTTTTGATATTACTAACCAAATATTATAAATATATGTACTATTAATAATAGCAATAGGTTATAATGATAAGGCACTGTTAGGTAAACTGGTAGAATTGGCGATAACATTTACATGGCAACATTCAACAGCGGATCATTAAATGCAGAAATAAATGCTTGTTCAAATAAAGATACACCACCGATAAAAAATTCTAATTCAATCCCGACAAGCGATTTTGGTCATTAATGTTTGATAAACGAGCATTAGAACCAAGGTTGATGTTGCTCCCTAAACGAAAGTGGCATTTTTATTGTGTAGCGTTTAATAAGATAATGTTTTTACTAACTGATGTAAATAAACAAAACTATTTTTTTCGGTAGTATCGATAACCTATATTTTGTCAACACATATCAAAAATTGATGAATATTACGTATTTGTTAAATGATTAACTTTTCCGTATGAATTAAATATTTAGAAATTGTAATGTTTTTTATTTTTATATTGTGTTTTTATTTAGCTATTATTTGTTTAGGCATAATATAATATAATAATAAAATGTAATAAATAATTCAACCTATGCTAGCTGAATAAGCGGTCATACAGTGAATCAGTTTTCCTGAAAATCGATCACAGCTACTATATTCTACATGCAAAAAAGTAGATACTAAATAGAAAATACGTTTAAGAATGAATTCAGTATTCGCCTGTGAACGTTTACCGTGCAAATGAACAAACACTGAACAAATTTGAATAATTGCGTTTGATCTAAAGGTGATTGCCTTAAAGGCGCTTACAAAAGCCCAATCCAAAAGCAGGAACGAATCTGACAAATTATGCCCACAGATTTAACTGCTACAATCAGTTCACGAAAGACGCAAGAACACGTGTTTAAGCAATAATTGCTATATCAGACGATTGGACTGAAATCATGATTCAAACAGTAAAACAAATAAATTGGAACAAAACGCATTCAAGGGCATCGCCCGTCAGTTTTAAAAGGAAGATTTTATGTACAAAAGCTGACCCAAATTCCGATCATCCTATTCAAGTACGTCGTTCTACCGCCCAACAAGAACTTTCTCAAATTCGTAGAACTCAGGGCTTGAGCTTATTACAAGCTCTTCCCTACGCGAAGAATCTGGGGAAAATTTGACTCAAACTCCACCCAACATGGGGGTGGGAATCTGTCAATAAATAAGGGAAAAATCACAAGCCGTACTGTTAGTTCAAATTCACATTAGAGCAGCAATTATCAGTGATTTCGTGCTGGTGTAAAAATCAACATCAGGTGAGTTTCTCACAGAGTAGCCTTTTCAATATTTCTTATTGCTTTAACATTCAAGATAATGTTAAAGAGTGAGTTT